TCTCTCTCTCTCTCTCTCTCTCTCTCTCTCTCTCTCTCTCTCTCTCTGTGTGTGTGTGTGTGTGTGTATGTGTGTATCTCCAAGAGTGGTATAGGTGGATCTTGTGATTTATCAGTTTTCAGCTTTATGAGGATCCTCCATACTGCTTTTCAAACTATTTTGTTTTCTCACCAGCAATGAGAAAATGTTGTCATTTGCTCTAATGATCTTAACCGTTCTGACTGGGATAAATGAAATCTCAAAACAGTTTTAATTTGCATTTCTTTTGTGGTTAAGGAAACATGTCTTTAAGTATTTCTTAGCATTTGCATTTTGTCTTTTGAGAACTCACTGTTTGGTTCTATATTTTGGTTTTTTTTTAAATTTTATTATTGGTTTCCTGGTGTTCAGGTTTTGAGTTCTGTGTATTGCCCAGATATTAGCCTGCTGTCAAATATGTACTCAGTAGAGATTATTTCCCCGATTCTGTGGTCTGCCTCTTGAATGATGTTGTCATTTGGTGTCATAAACTTTTCAGCTTCATCTTTATGAGGTTCCATTTATTAATTTTTGGTCATAATACCTGTGTTATTAACATCATGTCCAAAGAGTCTTTTCCTGAGTCAATGAGTTCAATCCTATTCTCCACTTTCTCTTTCGTCTTATTCAGCCATCTGATCTTACCTAGATGTCCTCATTCCATCTGGAGTTGAGTTTTATGAATGGTGATAAATATACATCTAAATCATTCTTTCACATTCAAATTAATATATCCATAAGAATAGATATAGATATAATCAGGGTGATAGATATAGATCTAAATAATTCTTTCACATCCATATATCAATAAGAATCACTGTTTCTAATGGTATTACTGACCCTAGACTGTTGGTAAAACCCTGCTTCTGAATACACCACATACTTATTCCATTAAACATGGAGAAATTGAGTTGGTGTTCAAAAATAAGTTCTACTCCTATTGATTAGCATTTATAGTGTAACAATATTGGCCTGTACTGTATTCAGAGCCACTGGTACAAAGTGGCAAATATGGGAGTAATCAACCACTTTTTATCATATATGAGAATAGCGCCCTGAGATAAAACCCACACATGACACTATTAAAGACGCCAAGAACCTGGGACTAGATATGGCGTAGGTCTTAGATAATGCCATATATATAAAGTCTAATAGATTACATATAATTTATGAAAAACATATATGCTAATCTATAGATTAGTGTCTCATCAACCAACATCAGAGAAGTTTCTTCTTCTAAAAGCTGATAATTTACATAGAAATCTACAAATGGAAAATGTGCAGAGAGGAGGAGACCTTGGGGTGCTTACTGCTCAATGGGATCTCTTTGTTATACCCATAACTTTAAGGCTCAGAGATTTATGTGGAAGAGGGAGGCAGCATCACTGTATGTACCAGAGATGGTGTAAGACTCTAAGAAACAGCACTCATCAAACACAACAGGGCCGATGCCCACAAGAACTCAGAGAAACTGTGGCAGTGTGCAGGAGACTTACCCCATCTCAAATCAGACAAATTCCCAACACCGAGAATGGAAAATGGGAACAAAGTCCCATCCTTATCCAAGAATCTATTTTAATTCTTAGCTGATAGAAGAGGGAAAAATCAGTTTTCTCCAATGGTATATATTGGCACTGGGTATATTAACTACACTCCAGGATATGCCTCATTCTCAAGAATCGATGATCAGCACAAAATACACTCACTTGATGCTTTTTGTGTGCTTGCTTTGTTTTGATTTTTAAGAGAGAGAAAGACATGAAGTTAGGTTAGGCCAAGAGGGAGGAAAGAAGTGTAAAGAGTTAGAGGGAGGGGAAAGAATATGATCAAAATATATTGTTTGAAAATTCAAAAAAATAACTACAGATAGAATAAATAAATAAACTTGGCCAATTCATATCACCACAAGGGGACAAAATTCCTTTAAAGGGCACACTAACTCACACTCAAGTCTAACAAATTTAATAGTTGCCTACTTGTTAATATCTGACCCATTTAAACTCATTATGATGTTGTGTTTGGCCAATGACTTATCTCTATGAGATCTTTGTTTTAAAAGGAAGGCCTTGGGTCTCCTGATTTCATTGCTCTCCATGGACAGAAGCACTGTGGGCTTCTTCCAGTCATTTGTGAGTGAGACTAGAATACACAACTCACAGCATCGTTCCTAGATTAGCTTTCATTTAAAGACTATTTTAATTCAGTAACAGATGTTATTCAAAATTTTAATGTTAAAGTTGTAAACAGGTGTTTTTATTCAGAACTCTACACTAAATGTTTTAATGGGCAGTGTAATGACATGCCACAGTGATTTCTGTAGGGATTACATGCTGAAATGTTTGCCTATAGCTCCCTAGTGTTTACTTCCATTTCTGAGCTGTGTATGGAATTTAAGTTTGGGATATATATTTCCTTTGTGTATTTTTCTTATAACTTTCTTCTGGGCAACACTCTACTATACAGTTTGTAGTATTCGGAAAAATAAAACACAAAGGTTTTTTTTTCTTTTCCATTTCTTTTACCAGAGACCTTAACCTTAGAGAAAAATGGTCAGAATTCAGAATTGTTTGAACTCATCAGAAACGAGAGGTAGAAAGATGTGACGAGAACCCCTTATAGCATCCTGCCCTCTCTGTTCATTTTCTTGAAAAATCAGTTTCAAAAGGCCAGTCACAATCCTTGTGGTTGCCCACTGGGCCTACACAAACAAAAAGGTGGTTTGACAATGTCCATTCTGGTTCTCTGTCTTAAATAGCATAGTCACCGATATCTACTTATTCTTAACCTTCTACAGGTCTCTGCTAAAATGTGACTTCCTTAGGGATGGCTCGCCTGACTATCATTGGCAATTACACCTACCCTTCTCATAAGATTGATAGTATTTGAATAAAACACTTGTACTTATCTTTAAATTACATGTACACCTTCTGCTAAAATAAAATTAAATACTGATAGGGTAGAGATTTCTGTCTGTCTTATTTGTATTATTTTATTTAAAAATCGGATCAATCACATAATAGAGAGGAATAGAGACATAGAATATATATATGTATACATATATATATATGTATACATATATACGCAGATACTGATCCTATTTTGTGAGGAATAATATTTTGTGTGACAGAACAGTTTTAAAGTGATAGAATATTGAAGTTATTGTGAAGTCTGGGCACACAGCCTGCTGTAATTGGGTGCCAAAAGGTTTCTTGCAGCAAATTATATTATGTGTGTGGTTATGATCTGCTTTGCTATATTTTCACTAGAAATTGCAAAAACATGCATTAAGAGGAAAGACATTTTTATATTTGATCTCAAAATATATGACAAAAGTGAAAAGAGTCTTGTATCCTTGGTCCAAAAAATATTACTCTGTAATTATTTCATATAAATATTTAGTATAAGAAGTATAATGAAAAAAATTGGCTTGAGGTATTAAAAAGAACAAAGAAGATGAGGTCAGTAAATGTGACAATTTCCTTGCTATTTCATTTACTAGTCACGTGATGTCTGATTAGCTGTTTCTTACCACTGAGCCTCATTTACCTAGCCTATGAAAGGGAGAAACAGCATAGTAAACTCTCCTTCATTTGATTTTACATATATAGCCATGTTTTCTCTCTCAATGTATTCATTTTCATAGTTAATCCACCATATAGCTAAATTTATAGGTCTTTCATTTTTCCCTTTGCTTGCTTAACAGACTGTTAGAATACAAGCTCTGTATGGCAAGAATCGAGTTTCCTTTTTCATTATGCATCACCAGTTACACATAGCAAGTCAGACATGGTAAGCTGCTGAGTAAATGTGCTGTGTGATGAATGGGTAAGCAATGTCAGCCATGGAGTTTATCTGATAACTTGGAGGTAAATTTTCATATGCAATCGCTTAAAGTGAAGAGACACTATTGTTGTAATCATGTCTAAACCATTATCTTTATTATTAAGTACATTCTCTACACTTCTTTAATTTACCCCAATGTAGATGGAGGCCTTCTAGGTTTACTATTTCAACTTCAAATTTTGTGAAAAAATTTCTAATAAGTTCTGATGATTTCCATAACAGGTCTCGAAGCTGGCTGGTGTCTTGGTCAAGCAGGGTGTTAAGAAAGGAGACACTGTGGTCATCTATATGCCCATGATCCCGCAAGCAATATATGCCATGCTGGCGTGTGCAAGGATTGGAGCCATCCACAGCCTCATATTTGGAGGGTTTGCATCCAAAGAACTAAGTACCCGCATTGATCATGCAAAGGTAAGTGCGGTCTTAACGATCAAGTCTTTCAGTTGCCTATAGCATACCACTTAACAGTCGGGGATCCGTTATCTATTTAACATTGTTTTATGATTTGATCTTCCTTGCACATGGAATACTCAGATTTAATCCATTCTTCCTTTCTTCCCTCCCTTCCACCCTCCCTGTCTCCATCCCTCCCTCTATTTCTCTTTATTCTTTCCTTCTTTTCTCTTTTGCATGTATCTCTTCACCACACATTCATATTGAGGCTTTTGCCATACCAAACATCCTGCTTAGTATTTAGAGGAATACAAAATAGGAGATGAAATGTGTGCTTTGTGTTTTATCTTGTATGTACAGACATGGATAAGATGCCTAAGAAAAACAAGTGATAAATAATGTATTCCTCAGACATCTCTACATCTCTGAAACTTTCCTTGAATCTGGGTAACAAATATCCCTTTATGCATATTCCTTGGAACTTGGTAATAAATTATTATTCCCCAAATTATTCCCCAGACTCCTTGGATCTTGGTAACAAATGTCCCTTTATGCGTGTTCCTTGGAACTGGGTAATAAATTATTATGCCCCAGATTATTACCCAGAGAGACTGACACAAAGGTACAGGGTTAAGAGTGAACGCTTGGAACATTGCTCTCATATGTTTGAATTGGGTACTATGCTAACAAGTTCCGTAAAACTATTGTGAGAGATTCTTGAGGTGTGACCTTAAGTCATCTACTACATGATTTATGGCTTTATATGATACACGTAAAAATGTTGGACATTATCATTTCATGAGTTCAGCAGTGTTCCCCACATATTTTTCTATAATGGCCACAGAGTAAATGTTTTAGGATTTGTGTGCCACCTCGTTTCTGGGGCAGTCATATAGCTGGCAGTGTAGCTCTGGAGTAGCCATAGAGAGTGAACCCTCTGATGAGGATATAGGTGCCACAGTAAAGATTTACAGACATTGATTAGCCTTCTAATTTAGAGGTAGGGACATTTTTTGTTGTTGTTGTTGGGTAGCTAAAGAGGGATTTCTGGAAAATGGACATATTTAAGAGAGATCTGCACTATGATTTCCTTGTTGACCAGAATGAGAGAATGAGCTCCACAACCAATAAAAATGAAGAGTGAGAGGCAAGAAGGAAGAAGCGCCATCATGGAGAGTGCTGTAGATCAGTGTGATTGAATGTAGGAGAAGAGCTCACCTGATAGGATCCACTGAACCTACAGAAATCACAACGCAGTGTTTGGGGTAGGCAAGGTTGTGTTCTAAGTGATGTTAGGAAGACAGCCTCGCTGTGTGGGAGACTCTGAGAACTTGAGCAAGAACATTCAGGAAGTAGTTTATGTGTAAAGCAATTGTGAATGTGTGTGTGGGAGTGGGGGTGGGGGGGGAGAATGTTGGTGGGAAGATTGAGGAAAGGAGGAAAGAGGAGATGGCTTGCTGGACAGTTATCTAAGCCCCAAATGAGACATTCCTCGCAGGGCAAGAAGTTAGCATAGTAAGAATTCCCCCAGGGAGGCAGGCACAGGGTAAGACAGTATATCTTCATCTGGAAATCCATTAGGTAATAGAACTAGGAAATCATTTTGTGAACTAACCACCTGAATTATTTGTGGTTTTTTTGTTGTTGTTGTTTGCTTATCTTCTTTTTAAAAATATATCGAGTTAAGGCTCATAAAACAATCTAAAGGAATTCTCAGTCACTGACCTGCAAATCTGAGGGTAAAAAAAAATTCTGAAGAGGCTGTAGACTTCAGGTTTTAGCCACAGAAATCCTGAACACCATTTACATAAACATACTGGATGCATTACTTAAATATATATATATATATACATACACACGCACACATATATGTACACACACACATATATAAATACAGAATCTTTTTGTGCTATGCCTTTGGAGAAGTTTCATTCTGATATGCAGGCACACATGACCAACCTTAATAATGGATTTCAGGAATAATGCATCTTCTTATGTGCAAAGACATTCGTCATGTCAAATTTAACAAACTCAGAGTAGAAATGTCTGATTTTATATCATGTTTTTTTAAAAGAACTAAGAAATACTTTAACAGATAAAGAGAGAAAGGTTGTATTACTTGAAGTCTATTTAGACACCATAAAATCTCAGATACAAGCTATCAACAGGAGCATGAGAGGGTTACTTCAGACTTTCCTATTGGATTAACCTTAATTATTCAAGAGTTATAGGTTTATGTGTGTTGTTCATTTGTTGTATTTGTTCCAAATTCTAATTTTAGGAAATGTTATCTGGTGTTATGCTTACAAATATTAAAAGTACTAAAATGTGAGCCAAATTAAAATGTGTATCATTAGAATATAATAAAACAAAATAAGAATAGTTTCTATTTTCTCTATGTTTTTTTTAATATCAACTTACTAGAGTAGAATAGAAAGATTCTGAAACTATAAAACCAGTTCTCTCTGCTTTTACCACTTCTAACCTGAGGCAAGTTATGTAACTGCAGTGGGCTTCAACTCTATGAGCATTAAACGACGTTCAAAATGCAAAATTGACTATATGTGTATATATCTGACATAGTCTAAACTTTCCATAAATGAACTATATTGTAAAGATGCTACACTATGGCATGATTATCTTTTTCTGATTAATTTATTACATTACTTGTCTTGGAACAATATAATAACAAAAATAAGGGCATGTTTGTTTCTATAAATTATTGAAAAAATTGGCTTAGATTCACAGTTGATATTGAGAATTTATGATGTAGTAAGCAATGTATGAAGCATAAGACACAAAAATAATTGCCATCGTATTTGTCATTGGAGAGCTTACTATATTAAGCCAGGCAGAGTAGAGCAAGGTGGGAAATTCAAACAGAGAAAGATACATGGAGAAAAATGGTGGAGTCAGAGAGACACCAGCAGTCGCCAGAGGAGTAAGATGCCAGACCATTACCGGTAAGCCAACGGGGCACTTGGGGATACATAGATTATTATAAATGGGTAAATTTATATGTAGAGCTAGCCAGTAAGAAACCTAAGCAGTTGGCAAAAAGGTTTGCAATTAATATTAACCCTCAGAGTTGTAATGCAGGAACTGGTGGGTGGGAGAGAAACGTCCAGTTACATGTGTGAATTGTATGTGAATTGGTATGTGAGACACACCAAGCATGTTCCAAAGAAAGAAATTAACACAGACATTCCAGGGATATTTTTCAGCTACACTTAAAATATGCAGATGAGTGTACCTTAATGACAGGAGCAAGTCCTGGACTTAAGAGATTGAAAAAAATTATTTGGGGACCCTTTTAAGAAAATTAATATAAGATAGGTATAGTGGCTCATACCTTTGGCCCCAATACTTAGGAGGGAAAGCATGAAGATTGCTGTGAGTTTGAGGGTAGTCTGCTCTATGTAGTCAGTTCCAGGACAATCATGGTGAGATTTGGACTCAAAAGAATTATAATGATAATGATAATGATAATAAGTTTAAAGCTACATAATATTTATTAACATAATTCCGTATTAACAATGAGGAAAAAAATCACTAAAATCTCTGTTTTGACTGCCTTATTTTACAGTATTTAAGAGTTAACATTTATACAGAAAACCTTACAATACTTGCTACTTGTTTTGTTCTTATCACGTAAGAGATACAATACTCTAATAAACAAAAAGATCGTTTTGTGTGTGTGTGTGTGTGTGTGTGTGCGTGTGCGCATGTGCGCATGAGAGCATGTAGGTGCATTTGGGTCTGAAAATATGTATATACCTGTGTGTGTATGACTGTAACAGAGACTAGCATTTCTTTGGATCATGGGAGCTTTATTTGGTTTAATGAATTCTTTGGAAGGTATTTTATATAGCTCATACTTACGAGCCCTTAGCTTCATTAAGTCTATGATTTTGAATAGGGAAGTGAGATTTTATGTGTTAGCAGTTTTAAAAAAGAGGGCTTGCTGATTTTCAGAGCATTGTGTAATAGTGAACAAAAACCATTCGACTATTTCTTTCAAAATATTAAACTGACCATCAGCACTGAAGTTTTATGATGACTTTAGCTAAGATTATTAAAACCTTTCTTTTCTATCACTTCTTCTTCCTATTTTAGCCCAAGTTGGTTGTGACGGCATCATTTGGCATTGAACCTGGACGAAAGGTCGAATACATCCCACTTTTGGAAGAAGCCCTGAGAATGGGACAGCACAGACCAGGCAGAGTTCTCATTTACAACCGTCCAAATATGGTAATTTGAAACTTTAACCTTCTTCTTGCAGATAGTGTTGTGCCAAAAATAATTTTAGTCATTTGAAAACTATAGATGTAAATGACGAAATATCCTGAAAATGATTGTAATTAAAGGAGCAAAAAAAATGCACATGATAGTGTCTATGGGAAACTAGGTGAGAAGAACATATAATAAGGCGCACAAATGCAGGTGACAGCAATACTTTGTGTATGCTTCTCCTGGGCTGTCATTTATGACTTTAAGTTTTGTGATAATCTTAGCAAATACTAGCTACCTGCTTACTGCTTGGATTTCAAGATACTATGGATATCTTCTTCAAGATTCAAGCATAATTAAAAACAATCTTCTAAGAATTGTATGAATTAGAGGGTGCTGTTAGTCTTCTTTGAGGAAAAGGAATCTTTGTGCATTAAGACTAAGTAACCTGCCTCATTAATGACAGTCCTGATTTGGCCTCCATCACTTGTGCTTTGAATGTGTATGTCATCATCTATTGGAAAGGTCTGATTTGTCATACAAAAAGTATCTTTCAAAAATTAAGGAAAGTGTTTGTTTTCTCATCCAGAGATAGACTATGTTCAGAAAAATCAAACTTGACTATTCTATACAGATGAATTAGTCTATCATTCACGGAGGATGAAAGATTACAGCAATGAAAATATTTTATACTTTTTCTTGTAACCTTGACCTGATGGCCACCTTGCTTCTATACTCAATAAATTCCGCAACTGCATACAGTAGGACCAAGCCAAGTGTTCAGTAGATCATCTTTCTTTTTGCAAAAGATAAATTACAAAATCGCAAACGCTGGTGTGTTGCTTTTTAGACCTCTTGAGAGGATCTCATCAGAAAATACTTAATTGACAAGTTTGGAGACTAGCGTCTTAAGACTGTCATTTTGATGAGCACATAACAAGAATCATTGCCACAATAAATTCCCTTGTGAAGCTTCAGTGCTGTGGTTCACGAACTGTGGCACTCGGTGGATTTAATGTTCCTACTGTCTCAGAGATGAAGGCCAAGATTCTTTCAAGCACATTTTTTTTTAAGAGACACGACTGCCACTTAAATCAAGGAACACAAAGTCAGCGCCTGAGCAGAGTGTAGGTGAGGAGAGGGATGGGACAAGCAGAAATGCTCCCACAGAAACATCCATTTGATTCTACTGTTTACACACAGGTAAGTGTTCACTTAGGAGTTGTGGAGGCCTTGTGTTACACTGGGAACAATGTGAGTTGGTTTCCAGTGCCTTTACTTATTTAGTTCTCACAGGTCAATGAGTTGGATCTTATACCTGGCTCCATTTTGCTGCTGGAGACACTGAGCCGTGAACCAGGCAATACGCAAAGTCTAGCTAATGGATAGAGCAAGGTTTGAACTGTGGTTTGATAACTTTCAAACAACAAGATATATGCTATCTATTCTGTTCTATATAAACACGTGATGTTTAAATATTCAGACTCTTTATCCACATTTTAGTGTTATTCTTCTTTCTTGATAGAATTGTTTTATCGCTTTACCCCACCTTACTGGCTCCCTTTCTTCCTTTTGGCCTTTCCCCAACTTGCCCCTCCAGTGATACAGATGAAATCTTTTAATACATTTTCTCTTTATATGAGTCCTACTATTTAGACAGTAATTAAACCCGGTGGGTTCGGTTTACTTTGAATTTAGAGAGAAACAAATTATGAGGACAGGTATTGTATCTTATTAACTAGTTGCACTTTTGCCCAATGAGTTAAAAGTTTGGCTGCTCCTCCTATGGCTCAAGGAAACTATGACAGAACCAAAGGAATATCACTTGTTTCCATGGCATTCTTTCAATGCTGTGTGATAAAAATTTTAGTATCTGGGAGGACTTGCCAACATAGACACACACACACACACACACACTCACTCACACATACACACACACCACACAACATACACACACCACACACTCTCACACCACACACACACACACACACACACATACCATAGTCACACATACACACACCAAACACACATACTGCACACATACAAACCACATACACACCACACACACACTCACACACACACTCACACACACCACACACATACATACACACTCACACATACACGCACACCACACAACATACACCACACACACATACCACACTCACACGCTCACACACACATACCAAGGTCACAATACAAACAGCACTCACACATACCACACACACACACATCACACACACTCATATACACACACCACACTCACATACACCACACACACACACACACACACTCACACATACACACACACACACACACAAACACACTTTACACAGTAAATGCCAATATTGCTAATTCTCCCTTCATTTCTCTGGAATCTTTTACACATACATTTTTTCTTAGCCTAAAGAATAACCATTTTTTTCCTAATGCCCATTTCATTAGGGGCTTGTAAAAATCAAAGATGTTTGCAATCACAATTCAGTTTTCACTTTGCAATGTGATGATTTTTACAGTTCTACAGTTAGGATGGTAAAGCTTCGACAATTCGGAATTGCTTATTTTTATCTCATGCATAAAACGAAATGGAAACACAATTTGCTTACAGTTCTCTGTTGTTTATTTAAATGGTATCAGCTGCTGCCTATCCGAGGGCGGCAAGAGATGTCAGCTGTGCTTAAAATACACAAATGGTGCTTAGTTCAGATGTTTATCTACAAAATGAATTTACGCAGACATATTGTATTCATGATATTGCCCTGATGCATAATTTGTCAATGTGTACATGTAAATGAATTAAAAGTGTTTATAGACCTGGTTAATAGTGGAGATCCTAGAAAGTTTGGAAGTGACTTTCTTTTGGGAGTGCCCTGAAGCCTGTGAGCTTAGCCCTGACATTGTCTTGACAAAGTCAGTCGCTGCGTAAGTGTCTGGCTGTGTTGTTCGTTTATTCTATTAAACTTTGCACAATTGGTCTCTGCCTGTGTTTATGTATTTCTTCACTATAAACTTCCTGATATGCCAGGTGTCGGAGTGCAGGCTTTAACCCCAGAACTCTGGAGGCAGAGGCAGGCAAATCTCTGTGATTTTGAGGCATGCCCAATTACATAATGAGTTCCATGCCAGTCAGTGATACAGACTATCAAAACAAAACAAAACAAAAAGCATACAAAACACTCTTCCTGATAAGGATTCCTGGTTGTGAGAAACAGTCAACATGATCTCTTACCTAGATGGCTGTAGTTTCTCATTAAAGTGACTTTTGCTCAACCCTACTCCCTATTTAGCATTTTTCGTCCCACTTAATGCCTTTTTTGTTTGTTTGTTTGTTTTTTGTTTTTCAAGACAGGGTTTCTCTGTGTAGCTTTGGTGCCTGTCCTATAACTGCATAATTTACTTAAAGTTGTATCATTTAGATGACATGACTGTTATCACAAAATTTACAAAACAAAATATTGCTCTTGAGGGAGGAAAAACAACTTTGTTTTTTTTTTATTATATTAATGATTGAGGAGGAGGAAAACATTCTCGGTGTTGTCACCTGTTCTTTTTGATTTTGAAGCAGGGAACTGTTTCTTGTCTGTGAAGGTGACTTGAGGTGGCCATTAGAAAGGTGACTGTAGTGTGATTCCCAAATGTCCCTGTATAAATAAAGATATTTGAAGCATTAGGTGATATTTCCTGGTGAGGACAGACCTTCTAAATTAAAGGGTCAATTGGAACTTAGTTTTTAGTTACTTGTACACATTCATATTTGGAAACATGTATGTCTGGGTTAATTAAGCTCAAGGACTTAAAGAACACGACAGAATCACATTGAATTGCTTAGGGTAGTCTTAGAATGCAATAAAAACGTGGTTTTTATCCATGAGATGGAAAGTGACATCAAACCACTGGATTGTGTAAAAAGATAGTTCATTAAAGAATCTGACTTAAGTTGTAACTTTGAGATTTATTCATAAATCCAGTGCTCGTGTCATGAAGACAAGGCTTTCTAATGGATGTTCACACTTACAGGTTTATACGTTCCTTGGCTCTCCTGTAACATAATCTCCTATATTTACTGTGCACATTTTTACATTTTTGCTGTTTAGGAGAAAGTTCCATTGAAGTCAGATCGTGATCTTGATTGGGAAGAAGAAATGGCCAAAGCCCAGTCACATGACTGTGTGCCTGTGCTCTCGGAGCACCCGCTGTACATTCTCTACACTTCTGGAACAACAGGGCTACCTAAGGTATTGGCTTCTTTTGGGATTTCCACCATGGCGGCAGATTTTTGTTGGAGTGAATCTACGTGATTACGGAATGAAAAATTTTCAGGTTTTATCTTGATGATTAGACACAGTTCCTTTATTTCTTTAATAAATTTTGGCCACATATTCTTTAAAAGGAAACACCTTGACGCTCTTTGTTCAAATTTCCCATCTGTCAACAGTAAATAGCTGGTTTGGCGAGCTGATAATTTCAGTATGTTGTTAATCGAATATTGGTCTAATGATATTTTGTTATATATATATATAGTTATATATAGTTATATATAGTAAGTGAATATATATATGTAGTTATATATAGTTTACTGTATATAACACTTACTGTGTTTAATTTTGTGGCACTGTGCTTGAGCAGAAAGTAAAAGATATGTTTGAAAAGATAATTTTATTCTTTTAAATGAGGTGTGTGTTCTATATGCTATAAAATGGATGTATTTACATTTACTTATTTTGAATATGTGTGTTTGGGTATGTAAGGGGTGACCCTGTATGCCATAGCATACATGTAAAAGATAAAGGATAAGACACAAGAGTTGGTTCTTCCCTTGTGTCGTGTGGGTTCTAGTGATCAAACTCAGGACTTCACACTGGGTGACAAGTACTTTGATCATCTGATCCATCTTGATGGCACTCAAGTAGACATTAAACTGAAGATAATTTAATATGTTACTAGAAATTTGAAGTTGAAGTCTAGACAGTTTGAGTCAGAGACTGTTTGTCTATATTATTCAACTATTTAATTTATAAAAAGGAGATACATGATATCCTTTCATTCATCTGTCATGAAAAGTATTTTTGCAAAGCAAAAAATTAAAGCATCAATATTCAAAAATGTATCTGGTTATCGACAAATGACAGATTAGGATGATGTCTTTAATGAGACATCCTTCAAACAACTTCATATTTTCCTTGTGTGTGTCTTAATTAGATGGCTCACTACTCATTAAATGAGAACTTTACAGGGAGATCAATGTTTCAAAATCCTCTCCATCTCTTAGTGCATTTCCTTGTTATAATTAGATATTTGGAAACTATAATCTCAAGCATATTAAGATATTGATGCCGTTAGATTTACTTTTAAAAAGAAATTTACGGTATTCCATGAAAAAGTTTTCTGTGAAAAAGAAAATATCTGGTATGAGAATATATCCATAGAGATTACGTGTTTTGTTGCATTGCTTTTTTTCATTGTATACAACATGCGGTGGATGCCCATTAATCTTTTGTTTTTTGTTGGTTGTCAAACTAGGTATGTGCATATGCAAAGTGATATTTATATTGAATTAGAATCTAGCACTTTTGTTAAAACTCTAGTCATTTGAAAAGTTAATATTTCTTCATTATTGAAGACTAAGATTTTTGGTTGTATTTTAAGCAGTCCATGTGATTTATTCTCACTTCATTTTTCTTATTCATAAGCTTCATGCAGTTCAAATGGACATTTCTCCATAAAATTGTACCGGGTTCAGCAAAGCTATGATTTTATATAAAAGTCTTAATATGAAAGAAAAACCCTAAGACTAAAAATGGCATAACCTCATTAAACTCAAGACAGATGATGACAAATATACCACCTTAGTTTGGCAAAAACATCTAACACACACACACACACACACACACATACACACACACACACTATACTGAGACTTCAGATCACCCTGCAATTCTCTGTTACCTGGATTCCGACTGATCAGAGGAACAGAAGAGCTGTTTCCATCAGAAGACTGATTCAGCCAATACAGAAGAAATGCAGTAAACTTAACACATAGGGCACTAAATTTGAAAAACGCAGTTTGTAGCTGCCTCATGTTTTCTCTGGCTTAGAGACTTCCCTTATTGATTCTTCTCATGCCTACACTGAATATAATCTTTGGATGTTTCTTCTATATTCTCTCTGTTCTTACCTCATGGACTATCCTGAAAACAGTTTATTTCAATATGTTGGAGGAAGCGTTGATCATTTAGATGTTTGCTCAGTTGAATATACATGCATTGAGTGTTCATTCTATGCAAAACAGATAAAATATGAGTAATTCATATTCCTAATCTAGGAGGATGAAACTATGTATGGATATGAGTAATACGATACAGACAGTAATCAGTTTGTGGCAGAGATACACAACAAAGACCAGAAGATTGTTTTTCAGGCTCCATGGCTTAGCATTTCACTTAGGACTGTGCTGTGGAATAATCCTCTTGTGCACTGTAAAGATTTCTCACTCAAATTCGTGTAATAGAATGCTGATTGACTAGTAATCAGGCAGGAAGTATAGGCAGGGCATGAAACTAAGGATGATAGGAAGAAGAAGGGCAGAGTCTGGCATTGTCAGCCAGCTGCCGAACAAGTAGGACATGTTAAAAAATGAGGTACCAAGCTGGGCGGTGGTCGCGCATGCCTTTAATCCCAGCGCTCGGGAGGAAGAGGCAGGCAGATCTCTTTGAGTTCGAGGCCAGCCTGGTCTACAAGAGCTAGTTCCAGGACAGGCACCAAAGCTACAGAGAAACCATGTTTCTAAAAAAACAAACAAAACAAAACCACAAACAAATAAACAAATAAAAACCAAACAAAAAAAACAAACAAAAAAAATGAGGTACTAAGTCATGAGCTATGTAGCAAAGCAAACCTAGAAATATGGGTTAATTTAAATTTAAGAGTTAGCTAGTAAAAAGCCTGAGCTATCAGCTAAGCATTTATAGCTAATATAAGCCCCTGAATGTTTATTTGGGACCAGGTGGTCAGAACAGGAATTGTTCCTTTACAGGACAGCACAACTAATTGGCATGAATCAAACTTGATTCAGAGTTAGGAGTGAGACAGAGAAGAAACCAGGAGTTTGAATTTGAGAACAGATAAAAAGGAAAATGGTCTTGATCTGGTTTCTGGGGTTGGTGTTGAACATATTGTGTATGGTGTATGTTTGGGATATTAATACTAGTACAATCAGTCATTGGAAATGAGCCTGATTCCAAGAGCTACCCTGGGAGCTGGATATAGCCCTGTGAATCACCAGTGTGTAGGTCTGGCTTTCAAATCACAGAGTGGGTGGATTTGCAAAGTAAGACATGTGGTATGCTGTTGTATGATTTTTTTTTCCTGGATAGAGGTGAATAAACATCTATTTGCCCCACGTGGGTCACTGAGACAGACACAGAAATTATTCCAGTCAATCTAGAGATCATACTGGCTTTACTTACAGAAACCAGGGATTATAAGAAGGGATTGCTTCAAGGAGCATAATGACGCAAGGCTAGCTACATCACCAAAATGCTCATATCTCACCCCTATCCATAGGAACTCCACTGGAGACTTCCCACTTCTGTGGCAATTGATTCCTGTTTTTCTATCACCCCCAAATAAACACCTTTCAAATTATATACCATTCCAATCATTCTAAGCTTTGTAAGTTTTATCATTCGATGAGCCTCTTATTTTCTAGAACAGGGAACATTTCAATTTGGAGGAAATAACCACACAATGTCCCCTACTGATGCCCAGGCTCTTTTCCCATCCACTCTTCCATCATGTACCCTGAGCCTTGGATGGGTTGATATACTGCTCTGTATTAGTCTGGCTACTTTATTTCATTTATGCTTGAGCATGAGGCCACTGTATCATGACAACAGTCACTTATTCTCTAGAGCCTGCCTTGTTGTGAAAGTGCAGCAATCACCATCTGCTGGGGAAATAAAGAATTTTCCCTTCATATCCAACAAACGTTTATAGTAATCTGTGCATAAAAACCAAATATTTCGAAGGCAATTAACAGACACCTCACATCCATTTAACAAAATAATAGTGACCAATCACTTTCATGCTGGGATTAACCTCCGGAGACATAGTTCTTTTTCTTGGATTGCAATTTTAAGAACAAATTATTCTGTAGGAGGATCCTAAAATTGAATTAAAAAACACTTCATTGAACTTATAACACTCGTCAATGGACACATAATGGTTTGTATATTGGTGGTTTAATGTGCATGGTCCACACCAAGCAGGACAATGGGTGACAAAAGCCACCCAAGTCTTAGAACCAAAATGTGTAATGTGTTTAGCTTTAGGGACCTACTTCTAATTCTAACATAAAATCACACCAGTCAAAGCCCTTCTTTAGCACTGGTCTTTACAAAAACCCAGAAACACCTGTAGAATTTTGGTATACCTTCACCACCTACATAGGAAGGTCTTTCTTTCTTTCTTTCTTTCTTTCTTTCTTTCTTTCTTTCTTTCTTTCTTTCTTTTTTTCTTTCTTTTTTTCTTTCTTTCTTTTCTTTTCTTTCTTTCCTTCCCCTCCTTCCTTCCTTCCTTCTTTCCTTCCTTCCTTCCTTCCCTCCCTCCTTCCTTCCTTCCTTCCTTTCTTTCTTGAGGCAGGTTTCTCTGTAGCTTTTAAGACTGTCCTGTACTGGAACTAGTTCTTATAGACCAGGCTGGCCTTGAACACACAGAAATCCACTGCCTCTCCCTCCTGAGTGCTGGGATTAAAAGCATGTACTATCACCACCCAGTGGATACTTTCTTAAAAATTTCGTGACAGCTGTTTATCTTGTCATTACAAATATTTCCCCAACACTCAAGAATTCAAATAATATAGTGAAACCATTTTTACACAAGTTGGGCAGGATTTCTGAGGGCCCAAAGGCGTCTCTTTTATGCCACCGTCCATCAGCCTTAGATGGCTAGGGAGACACAATACACACACACACACACAGAGAGAGAGAGAAAGAGAGAGAGAGAGAGAGAGAGAGAGAGAGAGAGAGAGAGAGAAATTCCCTGCATTTGCATCATTTGTTTCATCAAGAGTGATATTTGTCATTGATGCATGACACCGGCCCATCCAGCCTTAAGTTTATGTAAATATAATCTACACTTAAGTTTCTATTGGTCATCTGGCATTCAAATCTTGGGTTACTGCTACAGTGCTTCTACTGAGTGCATCCCCAATCCAGATAATCTTGATGGGGTCAAT